TTAACCCTTCCTAAGCAGAATATAACAAATCTCAAGCATTCTGGAGAGATGATTTACGGAGAAGCATTCTTTCATAACAAATTATGTAAGGAAGCAATCACCAAGAATGAGGCCACTAAACCCTCCCATTGTGTTTATAAAATAATTCAGGTGGAATTTTTCTTGACCATATTTTAGTGTATTGAATGTAAAACTTAGAGCTCTATTTATCCTTTAGATTTGCAGCACAGTAATAGGTGAAGATAAAGAAATGTTTCTATCAATGTTAATTTCTAGAATTTTTTAAAGAATAGCTTTTAACTGATTAAGTCACAAACTTTTTACATATTACATAGAGTTCACTAAAATTACAACAGGTAAAGAAAATTGCATTACATGTTTATTTGATGCCTTATTCCAAACATATGGATATACTGTTAAGAGGAGGAAAGAATCAGAATAGTGAGAATGAACATAAGAAGAACAAGAAAAAGCAATCTCAATCTTGTTATAAGAAATCTGCATGACGTTTTGTTAGCCATGAGCAGAGCAAAGATGATAGGCAGGTAAAGAAATTCACCGGGGCAGAAAGCTCCAGATGCCTAGCAAGGGGCAAAACTGGGAAAACAAGAATTTCCCCCACAGGATAAACTATCCTCCCCCTAGCACATCATGCGGTTTTAAACCCCGCATCTTTCAGACCCCCTAACCTTTTCCTCCCTAAAGATAACATGTAGGCCTCAGTTGTATTCCAGGACCAGAAAAGCAGCAAAACCAGGCAAGTGATGCCAGGGATGCCTCACAACCAGCTACATTAACTAATAATCCCCTGCCCTGGCGCCGACAATTCAGTGGACAACACAACCCTGAAGGAACACACCAGGAAAGCTGATGAATATTCTATTGAGACATTCCCTTGAGTCCTCCCCTAAGATTTCTACCTGCAAGAGAGATAAATACACTCAGGACAAAGGACCCTGTGCAATGCAGGCTCCAGCTCCAAAGAAGGTGCCTGCACCATCCCCCACAGGCACATTATCACTAACCTGTAAGGGACCCAAGGAGGCTTGCAACCAGGAGAGCAATGGGCAGCGGGCAACCTCAGGATAACATCCTGAATCTGTTCCAAAGTCTTCTTTTCTCTGTGTAGCCCTTCCCTTTGGATATCCCCTTTTCCTTAAATTATTTCAGTTTTCTTGAATCACTATCTGAGATGGCTATTTAGCCTGTCCACATGCCGCTGACTTTAACCTTTCAGTTTTATTATTGTGTTGTAGTATTTCCTTGTTGTTTGTTTGTTAATCCTCACCCAAGGATATTTTTCAATTGATTTTTAGAGAGAGGGGGAGAAACAGAGAGAAACTTTAATGTAAGAGAGACACATAAATTGGTTGCCTCTTTCAACACAGCCCCAGTTAATAAGCCAAACCAGGTAGGGCATGTCATAGTATTTCCAATGCAGGGGTCCAAAGAGAGCATATTAATGCCAGCAGAGGGTGTGAGTATTCCCTGGCAATGCACTCTTAAATTTAATTTAGTAGCTACGGTTCTCAAGAAATAATCTAGCCAAAACCGGTTTGGCTCAGTGGACAGAGCATCGGCCTGCAGACTGAGAGGTCCCATGTTCGATTCTGGACAAGGGCATGTACCTTGGTTGCAGGCACATCCCTAGTGGGGGTGTGTTTGTGTGTTTGTGTGTGTGTGTGTGTGTGTGTGTGCGCGCGCGCGCAGGAGGCAGCTGATGGTTGTTTCTCTTTCATGGATGTTTCTGACTCTCCATCCCTCTCTCCCTTCCTTTCTGTAAAAATCAATAAAATAAAAATAAAAAAAAGAAATAATCTAGGGGAACAAACAGCTGTAATAATTACAATGCAATGTTCTAAAATCAGCGTATCTCCATCAATGAAATGTTAGTTTGTTATCAGCAGATATAAGATATATCATTAATACTGTTAAAGTACACTGAGTGTAAGATATAGAATTTATTAAAGTCCAGTAAATTGCTAATCATGCCCTTTTAAAAAAAATAAGTAAATTTAAGATTATGCTGAATTTCACTTGAATTCAGCATAATTTTAAATTTCACTTGAATTCAGATATGCTTTCCTGAATGGGACAAGAAAAGGGTCAGGTACTAGCTAGTAAGTACATACAACATGAGAGTGAACAGTACATGTGAATTTCTTCTTTAGTCATCATTCAAAAGAAGAGTATATACTGTGTGAAATGCTATGGCTGAAATAAGTTAAAAGTGCTCTGGGAACACAGAGTGAACAATAACCAGGTTTTAGTTCATATGTGTTTGTGTCTTCAGCAGTAGTTAATGATGGTTGAAAAAAATGAGGAAGAATATAAGAGAACGGCAGCCACTTTAGGTTGCAGAACTAGCACTCAAAAGCAGGGAAGAGTGGAGTGCCATGCAGGAAGCGTAATTGGAACCAAGGACTTTGAATCAAGGCTATGTCAAGAAGCTGTGGCCAGTAGAAGGTTTACAGGAAATGGTACAATTAGCTACATGTTAAAAACAGAATTGCTGATGGCTTTGGAGCAAAGAATAAAATGAGACAAATTAGTACAGAGCAGAAAACAGACTAAATAAGGTAAGGGCAGGAGAGTTGAAAAAAAAAAAAAGACAACTGAAAAACAGTGAAGATTTTCTGAATATTTAGAAAGCAATTTGTATCACAATAGTACAATAAAGTAGGATATTTAAAATAGCAAATATTAGGTCTAGTAATAATTAATGTCGTTTTCTAATACTTTAAATCGAATTTATTTAAACAATACAACAAAATTTAATCAACAATATAGTTGCCATTGTTTTCTACTACTTGTGCCCAATGCTCAGGAAGCATTTTAATCCCTCTGTTGTAAAATTCTTGTGATTTTGATGCAAAAAATTCGGTCAGTGCATTTTTGAGGCATTCTTCATTATTAAATTTTTTTCCAAGAAGAAAGTTTTGCAAAGCATGAAACAAATGGTAATCGGAAGGGGCAATATCAGGAGAATATGCAGGTTGAGGGAGAACTTCCCATTCCAACTGGCGCAGTTTTTCAGCAGTGATTCTTGCAGTATGCGGTCCTGCGTTATCATGGTGAAGAATTACGCCCTTCCGATTAATCAGCGCGGGTTCTTTTTCTCTTAAAGCTTGGGCTAACCTTTCCAATTGGGCACTATACACTGCACTTGTAATGGTTTGGTTAGATGGTAAAAGTTCATAATGAAGAATTCCTTTAAAATTCCACCAAACACACAACATCACTTTTTTCGCATGCAAGTCAGGTTTTGGCGTGGGCTGCGGAGCCTCATTTTTGTCCAACCATTGAGGCTGCCTTTTCAAATTAACATACAGCACCCATTCTTCATCTCTGGTAACAATTTGCTCTAAAAACGGCAAACGGTTTTGACGAGAGAGGAGCGAACTGCAAATTGTGACTCTTTGATTAGGGTTGTTGTGGGTCAACTTATGAGGAACCCATTTTCCAAACTTTTGGACTTTGCCAAGTGCATGCAATTGATTGGAAATTGTTTTTTGTGAACAATTTAAAGTTGTCGCAAGCTCTTGTTGGGTAATTTGAGGATTTTGCACCAAAAGAGCTTGAAGAGCTTCTTGATCAAAATTGGACCCACGGCCTCGACCACTCTTGTCATCTAACCAAAAATTTCCCTCGCGAAATTTCTCAAACCAACGCTGGCATTTTCTGGCGCTAACTGCATCTTGACCAAGAGCACTACAGATGTTTTTTGCAGCCTCACTTGCTTTTCTTCCTAATTGGAACTCGTAAAGCATGTAGTGCCGAATATGCTCTTCATCCGCCATCTTCTTAGCCCTAGTTTTGCAACAAAAACCAAACCAAACACAAACTTTTTCAAGCAAAACTTGTTAATTGCACTTCACACGTTCTGTAGATACCACGTGTTTGAAGGTTATGTCAATACAAGTCAACGCCAAGCAAGATTTTAAACGAATGTTTTAAAACGACATTAATTATTACTAGACCCGGGCAAGCACACAGAGACTCAAAATTATCAAAATTATGCTTGTAAAACACTATGTTGATACGATGTACAAAAAAATTTCAAGAAACTAAGAACTCCTATAGAGATATTTAACAGAGTCAGAATCAGATTCTATTGGAGATTTTAATTTTGTACATTTCAAATAACAATCTCCATGAAGCACCAGGGAAGGGTTTTGCTTATTAAGGCAGCAACATCTACCTTTCAGAATGGTGTGATGACATATTTCCCTTGGCTATTAAGAGAGAGAAGTCTGGCTTAAACCATAATGTGGTTGCTAGAACTAAGAGCTTCATATACAAACACTAAGGAGAATAAAAAATAAAAAAAACTTAGACCTTTAATGAGTACCTACTATGTCAGTACATATTAAAAAATTAAAAGTCCCCACGATTTAATCTAATTTGGGTTTCTGTTTATTACTCAGAATGATAAGTCCCTAAATTACAGCTCACACCGTGACAACAGCACACAGTAAAGAGCTGTCAGCGGATGAAAAGCCTAACCATGGCCATCCTGGTATGCCCATGTAGCTGACAGGTACACAATGCGTTCCCAGAACTCCCGTGTAATTTGAGGTGAGTCGTCAAATACTCCAGAGACTGACTGTCCTGCTAAGACCTCAGGAAGAATTTAACAGAGTATCAGCCAAGATAAAAGGGTAGCAATGAAAAAGAACAGGAGTCACTAGGGCCAAGTAACTATGTGCCAGAGAGCAGACTGTACTCTCAGAAAAGGAGGGCCAGCATCAGGGATCAGGTTGAAGCAAGTGGAGGGGAAGGTCAAAGGAGAGAAAGAGCATACTTCCAAGGAAAGACTTCTTGCTCCCCGAAGAAGTAACTTTACTCTATAAAATCATTAAGAAAGTGAACAAAGCCCTAAACCCCCTGGAGTCAGAAGAATCATCACAGGAGAAGTATTTAAGAGGTTTACATATTATTAAAAGGGCTAGCACTTGAAAGCCAGGGTACTGACAGGGCACAACTAGGAATGACCTTACCAAGTATCCACAAATAAAATGACTTCTCCTTGAGTAAGCATCTCCATCTCATAGCTGCCAAGCCACCACTGGTAACAAGTTCCAGCACATTTTATGTCTAGACATTAATAGAAGGGTGGGTAATATGACAAGCTTTGCAGATATTTTAAAAACCTAACAATTTACTAATCCACATATACAAGAGCCAGGTTAAAACATTATTAAAATAAAAATAACACAAAATATTCTGTTGGCATTAGACAAGTAAATTCCTGTACAGCAACAATTCTCAAAGTGTGGTCCATGGACTCCAACGGTTCTCATGATCCAGAGGAGGCACATGAGGTCAAGACTATTTTCATAATACTAAACTGTTATCTCCTTTTTGTCACTTTCTCTCATAAGTCAACAGTGGGGTTGTCCACAGGCTACATGATACGTGTCATTGTATTGGTGACTACTGAAATACATCCCTGTGTATTCTTGTGTTTTAAAATATTTTTCTATTAAAATTTCTAATATGGTAATTATTACCGTATTTTTCGGACCATAAGACGCACTTTTTCCCCCCCCAGAAGTGGGGGGAAAAAGTCCCTGCGTTTTATGGTCCAAATATAGCCTACACATATACTTTAAAAAAAAAGTTTTTTTACTTGCCCGGCTCTGTGTGGTCTCTGTGTGCTTGCCGGGCTCTAAAATGGTTCTAAATGCTGCTGTTTACTTTACAGGGTTGATTACATGTGTTTATGACTGTGATGTTGGGTTTTAATGCACATAAAATATTTTAGGACACTATTTGTTTCAGAATCTTTTTTTCTTCATTTCCCTTCTCTAAAAACTGGTGCGTCTTATGGTCCGGAGCGTCTTATGGTCTGAAAAATACAGCAGTTGATATGGCTGTCATAAATAAAAGCTCTCTTGGGTCCTCAATTATTTGAGTATAAAGAAGTCTGGACACCAAGAAGTTTGAGAACTGCTACTAGTCTACTGAAATAAAGCATTAGGAAGTACAATGTTGGTTTTAAGCTTCATTAAGCTTCAGAAATTTTGAAAATTTCTAGTTTTTAATTTTCAAAAATGTACACAATAATCATGCCAGATAAATATTCTCCTCTGTGCAAAAATATGTCCAAGATCCATGTGGAAAAAGAAAAAATTATATTTTTAAAGAGATTAGTAGACTTTAGGGTATTTGGAACACCTCCCATCTTTGCACAGTTACTACCATTCTAAATTTACCTTACAAGAATTGACAAATCCACAAATATTTATAAAGAAGCTGCCTGCGTTAGGAGCTGATGAAGGAAAGGTAACTTAAGTGATAAACTAGCTCTCAGTGGGCTCACAATCCTGTCAGGAAAAATATGATCAGCAACACAGTGAGAAAAAGCATGAACTATTAAGAAAAAGCATGAACAGAGTGGAAAAGGTATGCAAGGCAAATTCTGGGGAAGAAGACCAGTGAAAAGGCAGGGAACACTTTTCTTAGCAAATGCATCCCTCAATGGTGGCATGCGAATTGACTCTAGCAATAATCAAAGCTTTGCGAACTGGAAAAGAAGCTAAAAAAAACAGTAGTGAGGAACATCAGCACAGCAGCTCGCAGTACACATTGTAGAAAGTTTAAATTTTAAGTAATCTACTAAAAATACAGAAATTGGGAGTAATTAGAAATTTTTATAGAATTTGACGTCTATTGAGTTTAATGAATAAAGACTGGTACTTATAGTCTGTATTTCTTTTTCATAATTTCCAATCTGTCATAGATAAGAAGCTTTTCAAAATATAATAAAAGTAATTTATTTAAAAAATAAAATGAAAACAAACAAAAACAGGTCCTTCACCACAGATACTTTAAGAAGCTCAGAAAACCAGCAACAAGATGGTGGGGAGGAGGAGAAACAACAGCAGGAGATAAAAGCGTTAAGCTAGAAGCTTACGTAGATTGTACTTCAATAATCTTTCTATAGATATATGTAAAAGTACTAAAAGAGGTTTGAAAACTACTACTATATTTCTAATCAGAATAGAGAAATTCTAGTTATTTAAATAAAATGGATAATAAGCTCTACTGTTAGACTCGCTAACTGTTGTGCAAACCTCAGGCTGCATTTGAAGGGCAAACTTAGCAGTGTCAAGGAGAATATCAGGTTCACCAGAGTTAATTTAAGTGAAAAATACCAGGGTCTGTGTAAGAAGAGAAAGTGAATTGACACTTTGATCAACACATTGTTAAATTATTTTAATCATTTCATTTGAATACTTTCATGGTAGAGAAAAAGCCTAATAATATTGAGGTTTGATATAGTGAGGAATGTCCCCTCCAAAATGCTGTCAGTTATTATCAATTAAGATATTAAGTAAAAGACATAAGAAAAATCAATTATTTAAGGACACCAAATTTAGAAAATGGTAATTACATTAATGTTTACCATTGCAACAATACATTAGGGTTGTCTAAGGAAGGACTACTACTTTTTGAAGGTCATTATGTGATTGAGATTGCTGAGTTAGTTTTATTAGAGAAGTAACTCTAGCAAACTGAAGTTTTAGAAAAATGTGGTGGCTAAGAGAAATCATCTATATATATAAAAGCCTAAGTGACCGTCCAGTAGTTATGAAGTGCACTGACCATGAGGGGGCAGGCACTCAACAAAGGAGAGGATACCACAGGCACAGAAATGTGGAACAGACTGATGAATCTCAGAGGAAAAGGGGGAGAGAGAAGAGCGGGAAGAGATTAATCAAAGATCTTACATGCATACTAGAGGCCCAGTGCACCTGTGCACTAGTGGAGTCCGTCCCTTGGCTTGGCTTGCAGCGATGGGGCCGAAACCGGCTCTCCAACATCCCCTGAGAGGTCAGAGTTTTTCACTATTTTTAATATTTATCCAAATTAGATAATAAATGTTTACTCTGAGATAAACGGTACAGAAAGTATATGGAGTCCTATAAAATACAATAAAGGGTGATTTGATTTTGTTAGTCACATGGGATGACTATTTCTTTCAAAAAGGAGAGTTAACAAGTAAGAAAATTCTGGCCTAAGACACTAAGAAACTTTATAAAATACTCTGTGCTTTATAAGTTTTGCAATATTCATTTCATAAAATCCTTGTCCCTTTTTCCTAATCACCCTCTTTGACCTCTCATTCAGATGGACATAACTTAAATATATAATGTGACTATTTCCAGAGTATAACTGTATGGCAGATAAACTACAGTAAAACCTCATGAAACATATTAGTTCAGAGTCTTCAACTATATGCTATTGCACACTAGTTTCCTAATATATATATGTATGAATGACCCTCCTTCTGGAGGATCCTCCTTTGGAGATTGACAATCCTCTGGCTAAGGAATCATGATTCAACTTCTCCAAACTTATGTGACCATGAGCTCCTCATTCAAAGGAAAAAATTGCTTGCCAAACACGTTTTAGAAAGCACACACTTTTAAAATTTTGAAATATTTAAAAATATTTATAAATAACATAATTACCAATAACTTATTTTTACATGCTTTCAAAATTGTCACTGCACATTCTAAACATCCTGTCTCCTCTTCTATCTGGGGGAAAGATCTAAATTTGATCATATTCCAAGAATAACTTATTGGCTTTATATTTAGTTATCCAACTATCATAAATGGTAATTAGCTAGTAGATAAATCATAAATGGTCATAAGCTAGTAGGGAAAACAAAGGTGTTGATAAATTAATAATAAAAATATGCATGCTTAGTTTTAGTAAAATTTAAAATTGAGAATTTGGGTATAATACCTATTGTGTTTCATCAAATATAAGAGCTGATTTTGGTTTATTAAACTGTTTATACACATAATTATACATGAATGAAAGACTGCTTAATATTTACAAGTAGAAATCTGGTTAATTTAAAGTCTCGATTTAGAGATTACAATAATATATGAATATGTGAAGAATGACTAGCAACCAAATAATTTTACAATTATAAAATTAAAGTGTTATTCTTTATTATTTAATAAATTTGTTTTTAAATATTTTCTTGCTGAAATTACAAGCAAGGATAATCAGAGTGATTAAAATATAAGTAGAGAATGAAATAGCATTTGCAACAACATGGATGGACCTTGAGAACATTATGCTAAGTGAAATAAGTCAGTCGGAAGAAGCTAAGAACCATATGATTTTACTCATATGAGGGATAAAAAACTGAAACCCGTGAACACAAACAGCAGTGTGGTAACTGCCTGAGGTAAAGGGTTTGGGGGAGAAGGTGGTCTTAATATAAGGTGACAGGAGAACGTTTGACTTTGAGTGGTAGGCACATGGTACAATATACAGATCTTGTAACATAAAAACCTACAACTAAAACTTAATGTTCATGTTGACTAATGTCACTCCAATAAATTTAATTGAATATATATATTTAAAATATATATGTAGAATGATTAAAAAAACACTTTATTACTAGGTATTCTGAATATAATTAGAATAGTAAAGAAAACGAGTATTACCACTGTGCTGACCATATTATGCCTAGAATAAAAAACAAGTTTGCCATCCCTGCCCAGTCAGTATAGCTCAGAGGTTGAGTGTCAACCTATGCACCAGGAAGTCAGGGTTCCATTCCTGGTCAGGGCACATGCCTGGGTTGTGGGCTTGATCCCCAGTAGGGGGTGTGCAAGAGGCAGCTGATCAATGATTCTCTCTCATCACTAATATTTCTATTTCTCTCTTCCTCTCCCTCTCTGAAATCAATATAAATATACTTAAAAAATAAAGAAAAAAAACTGCCATTTCCCTTTTAAACATCATACATAAATCCATTAAAACACTGTGATGATATGCCGAGACTGGTTTGGCTCAATGGATAGAGCGTCGGCCTGGGGACTGAAGGGTCCTGGGTTCGATTCCAGTCAAGGGCATGTACCCTTGGTTGCGGGCATATCCCCAGTAGGGGGTGTGCAAGAGGCAGCTGATCGATGACTCTCATCGATGTTTCTGGCTCTCTGGCTCTCTCCCTTCCTCTCTGTACAAAATCAATAAAATATATTAAAAAATAAAAAAATAAAAACAAAACAAAAAAACAACAACACTGTGATGTTTAGGATATATATTCTATCTACTATCTCTCTTCCGAACAGAGTTTTCAAGTAGCTAATTAAAAGTAAACTCTTCACAATTAATGATAAGTACAACAATCAATCACTGTGTCTTTTCCCAGCTTACTTAGATTGTTTCTGCCCTGGCAAAGACAGCATAAAGTTCAAGAGTTTATGACATGACAAATTCATCATAGGCTGTAGCTAAACTAGAAAACAGGGGTGCTAATCCAAGTAGAATTAAACACTCAGTCATCTCTGTTGTATGATCATATACTTGTATTAATCAGATTATTTTATCATTTCTCAGAAATGCTAAGATACTATTTGCCTTGTAAGAGGCAATCACTTTATATAATTCAAAAAGTAATCAGACTTAGACTTTAATAAACCCACAATAACCAAATATGATTCTATTTTTCTTCAAAACAATACTTTTAATCTGAAATCAGATTGCTATTTTAAGTTTTGCATTAACTATCCATTTTTTTTTATAAAAACAAATTAAGTATCACTAACACAAATACTATTTATTTCAAGATTCCCAGCCATTCTCTTTGGAAGTAATCTACACCTTTTAATTCTCAAGAATATTTTTCTTTTTTCTTTTTTTTTTTTAATATATTTTATTGGTTTTTTACAGAGAGGAAGGGCTAGAGATAGAGAGCTAGAAACGTCGATGAGAGAGAAACATCGACCAGTTGCCTCTTGCACACCCCCTACCGGGGATATGCCCGCAACCAATGTACATGCCCTTGACCGGAATTGAACCTGGGACCTTTCAGTCCGCAGACCGACGCTCTACCATTAAGCCAAACGGGTTTCGGCAAGAATATTTTTCTTTTTTATATAATTTAACCTCTTTCTACTGCTTGATTAAACTTATCTATATTTATCCTTGCCCTCTAAGTTCCTTAATTATAGAGTTGTATCACACTTAGTTTTAAAACAAAAACAAAAAACAGTGCCTGCTTGGCTAGCATAGCTCAGTTGTTGAGTGTCGCCTATGAATCAGAAGGTCCCAGTTCAATGTCTAGTCAGGGCACAGCCCGGGCTGCAGGCTTGATCCCCAGTGTGGGGCATGCACAAGGTGGCCAATCAATGATACTCACTCAACTTTGATGTTTCTGTCTTTCTCTCCCTCTCCATTCCTCTCTGAAATCAATAAAAATATGTTTAAAAAGCAAGCAAGCAAACAAACAAACAGTGCCTAATGAAATAATTTGCAAAGATAAAACACGAAATATAAACCTGGTGATTATAAGCTAATTTATAAGTTAGAAAGGATTGTCTAAAATATATTAAAATCATAATAATTAAGCCTTAAGAACTCAGGAAAAATATTCTCACCCTCTACCTCCTAGGTTTGAGTCTCTGCTTTCTGAGAAAGGAAACTGAGAAGGCTGTTGAAAAGTAACTCTGATGTCATCTGGAGTCTTCAGATTCCCTGCTCCTCCTTCAGTCTAGAGCAATGGTCAACAAACTGCAGCTCTCAAGCCACATGCAGCTCTTTGACCCCTTGAGTGTGGCTCTCTAAAGAAATTTCAATCATTGTACTGTTGGTATTTGACTCTGTTAACTAACGAGTTTGTTAACCACTGGTCTAGAGTATATGTAAAGAGAAGGAAAAAGTCAGTTTTGTATCTATTCCAAGTCAGATTCTGGAATTTGTTTTATAAAGTTTCCCTAGTACCATTTCGTGATCAAGTTCAATGTAGTAGTCCTTTGACAGAGAAATACAGATTATTTAAGAAATATAAATTGTTCATTAAAGGAAAAGAACAGATCTTTGCTTTCTAGACAATACACCTAGATGCTTCAAGAAAACAAAATGTAAAAAAGGTTTATAGTTGCTAAGATACATTTGTTAACTTTTGTTGATTTCAAATTTTCATCAAATTAATTCAATTAAATTACACCTAAAAATTCTAAACCCTCCCAAACGTATATTTAAAAAATCAATAAATAAAAAGACAATGGCAATAGTTTCTTTCATATTAAGCTTTCTCCATTTCAAACTACTACTTCCAGCACAAAATTTAGGATGAATATCAAATGCTTATGTCCACGAAAAGACATATACACCACTGTCCAAAGCATTTCTAATTTTAATAGTTAAAAATTGAAAACAACTCAAATGCCTATCACTAGGCAAATGAATTATGTTATGTCTTTACAATGGACTATTTATTACTCAGAAACAAAAACGGATACTACTATCTAAACTAATAAAAGCCTAGGTGGTATTTGTGCATGACGTCGTCACAAGATGGCCGCCACAAAGATGGCCACAGCGAAGGCAGAGTACAGAGGCTGCTCTGCATGGTGAGGCCTGGGGGTCCTGTGGTTCCATGAGGCATGGAGGAGGCCAGTCTTGGCGTCTCAAGCCAGCAGAGAAGGGCAATTGGGGGCGATCAGGCCAGCAGGGGAGGGCAGTTGGGGGAGATTGGGTCAGCAAGGGAGGACAATCAGGGGCAATAAGGCCAGCAGGCAGAGGTGGTTAGGGGTGATCAGGCTGGCAAGGGGACATTTAGAGACAATCAGGCAGGAAAGCAGGAGAGCAGTTAAGAGCCAGCAGTCCCAGATTGTGAGAGGAATGTCTGACTGACAGTTTAGGCCTTATCTCCGAGATCAGGACTAAATTGGCAGTCAGACAACTCCTGAGGGGTCCCGGGTTGGAGAGGGCTCCCCCCATGCACAACTTCACTAGGCCTCCAGTTATATAATAAAAAAAGGAAAAAATATTATGTTGAGAAGTGAATGTTTCAAAAGCATACATAAAAGTAGCAATTATTTCTGCATTTAGAGGCAATTTTAATTTTTTCCTTTTCAATGACTTATATTTTCTTGTTTATCCACAATAAACATGCATTACTTTAGTAATAAATTAAAAGATGAAACTAGCAATAGTCTACATTTGTCCATTTATATACTAGTGCCCCATGCATGAATTTGTGCACCTTGAAAGGAACTGTGGGCAGGGAGGCTGTGGTGAGCATAGAGGTGGATCTCGGCCCATGCTCTGTGACTCCTCCGAGCCCCTCCCACTGCAGCCCTGCTCCCACACCTAATGGCGCTGGCCCCACTCGCACCTGCTGATGGAGTAGATTGATTGGGGCTAGCTCTGTCAGCGGGTGTGAACAGCAGCTGCTGCCCCGATTGCCCCTCAGGAGCACGAGGAAATGGAGGAGCCCTCAGGGGTTATCAGGGCCGGTAGCTGCCGCTCGCACCCACTAAAGGTGCCAAGTGATTGGGACTGGTGCTAAACACCAGCAGTGGGTGCAAGGGACAGCTCTGGCCCCGGCAGCAGATGCAAGCGAGGCCATTGCCAGCAGCAGGTGCAAGAGGTGGCTGCCAGCCTCAATCACCCCTCAGGAGCATGGGAAGGTGGAAAAGCCCTCAGAGGCAAACTGAGGCCAGCTGCCGCCGATAGCACTCACTGATGGAGCTGTGTGATCGAGGCTCGCGCCAGGTGTCAGCAGCAGGTGCAAGCAGCAGCTTTGGCTCCAGCAGCAGGTGTAAGCAGGGCAGGCACTGGCAGCAGGTGTGAGCACCTAGCGAGACTGTGGTGCATGAGATCAAATTTTCAGTTACCACCAGAGGCTTTCCCCAGTGACAGCCCTGACTTGGTCTGATGCCCCCGTTCATCTGCTCCATCATTCTGCCGCAGCTGATGCCCGCCATGTTCTGCATATGCCCCCTGGTGGTTAACACACATCACAGTGACCAGTTGTTCAGTGGTTCATTTGTTCCACCGTTCGAGCTATTTGTATATTAGGGTTTTATATATATATATATATACTAAAGGCCCCATGCACGAAATTTGTGCATCGGTAGGATCCCTAGGCCTGGCCAGCATGTTCTGCCTGGTTACCAGCAGGGCGATCAGGGAGCAACCACTGGCACCTGCCTTGGCTGGCCTAGGACCTGTGGGCTGGGGTCAGCTCCTGAATTGAACGTCTGTCCCCTGGTAGTCATTGCGTGTCATAGCGATCAGTCATTCCACCATTCAGTAGATGTGTATATTAGACTTTATTATATCATTCATTCATATATATATATATGAATGATATATATATGCACCTAAGTGACCATTTGACTGATCATTATGATGCACACTGACCACCAGGGGGCAGACGCTCAACGCAGGAGCTACCCCATGGTGGTCAGCGTGCTCCCACAGCAGGAGCGCTGCTTAGCTGACCAACAGCCGCCAGATGCTGGGCTCACAGCTGGAGAACATAGCTGCAGTGGGGTCCCTCTGTGTGTCCTTCCCCCATCCAGACCAAGACTGGGACCAGCATCGGGACTGACTGTGGCCACTTCTCGGTCATGGGCACACTGGTATCGCCCTAGGACGGGTGCATGGAGACCGCAGCAGGGCAGCTGCAAACCTACCTAGCAGAGCGGCACCCAGCCTGGGCTCGGGCTCCTCCCCAGCTGCCTGCCACTTCTCGCACTACTACATCCCTCAGAGGATGCTGGACTGCCAGTTTCGGCCCGATACACACAGGCCACACTGAGGGACCCCATCGGTGTATGAATCTATGCACTGGGCCTCTAGTTAGAAGTATAAAAGAAGCACTCCTAAGAGGTAGTGTACATTACAGAACTCTGGGCTGTCATGTCATCCCCACCAACAACATACCACAGAGTAGTGAGAAAAGAGCCGGTACGACTGGATGAACTAGAGTAATAATTAGTAAGCTACATTCTTTACCAGTTACAAAGTGCTTTCCTGGACATGACCTAATTTGATTTTCATAACTCAGTGCAACAGGCAGAGAACACATTACCCCATTTTCTAAAGGGCAAACAGTGAGCAGGGCTGGTTAAGTGTCATGCCCTAAAATTATAGGTCTTGGACTCAAATTGGGCCTTGACTACAAATTCTGATAGAAATTCTAAGAGGAGTATGGAACAGTCACTTTTCCTGATTATTTATAAGGCAGTGATTTATGTATGAACGTAAAAATAACCATATTTGCAATCATATTAGTATTCCTATTAAAATGTGGCAGGGTTTGGGGGACTGTTTAAATCCCCGGTACCTAACCTCAGACAACCTACTAAACTACTGAAATTCAGGTAGGATTAAATTGTTCAGTTTTCAATTGCATTTCTTTCCTTCTTGAAAAATAAAGGTATTACCTTTTATTTAAAAATTGGAGAAAGGAACTCACCTTTTGAATGCTGCAAATATCATAGTGACCCTCAAGTTGATGTCAAAAGAGCTAACTTAATGGCACTTTAAAATACTACTTTTTGGGCCAAATCTCTTTTGAGAATATGAGCAGATAAGGAACAGTCTCCAAATGAGGCATATTCAGTGAAGAAAATGGCATACCCTTGACAAGAGTAAAAGTAAACATCTTCAGAGGAGAATTATTAATCACTGATCAGTATTTGCTAATGAGGCCTTGAACCATAAGGAACCCTTATAGCTACATTCTTACCAACACTGTTCGGACTATAAGAGACTTAAAAGGAAATGCTAGCTCTCATTTACTGAGCACTTTCTGTTGTGTCAGATACTGTGCTAAGGTCTTTATATACATGATATTAAACCAATCCTACAAGATGACTACTATCACAGCCCCATTTTATAGATGAGGAAACTGAGTTTCAGTTACCCCAAATCACAAAACTGATAACAGCTTCAAGTATTATAGAATTCAAACTCTGGCACATTTTCCTTGAAACAAACATGGGGCCTTAGCAGTTCTTTAGAACATAAACAGTGACTTTTTTGTAGTACTACGTACCTACAATAGTCTCAATTCTGGTAGTCTAATACACTTGGCAATGGCACATAAGTTTAAGTCTACATTTTTTTCCTGTGAAAAATTAAAAATCTCCACAGCCCATAATTTGTATCTGATTTTTGTCTTATATTAATAAATATATAAATAAGCCTTAAATCCAAGTCCGTGAAACTGATTGTGCCAGATAGATTTTAGATTATGAAGACAGGGAGCATGTCTAAAAATACAGTTTAAATAATTTTGTTGTAATTATAAATGCCATTTCCTCAGACAGCTTTTCCTTATTACTTTATGTAAAGTAGCTTCCTCTCTACCTGACTTTGTTTACGCTCTATTTTACTCTATTTCTGTGTCCTTGATTTTTTTCTGTTATCTATTTAGACACTCATGTAGTTCTTGTTCTTTATCCTATTAATAAGGTATATTGTATTAATTGAATGATTCAATGTGAAAAGAACCCTTTCTTTCCAAGATACATGTCTATAACCAACACCATATTTAATGGTGAAAGACTGAATACTTTCCCCTCTAACACTGGGTAAAAGGCAAGGATGTCTGCAATTAGTTATTTGGATTTTACTCAATGCAATCAGCAAGAAACATAAAGACATACAGATTAAAAAAGCAATTATGGGAGAAGATATTTGCAAACAACAGCTTCAACAAGAAGTTAATATCCAAAATATATAAAGAACTCA